CGAGGGGAATCTCAGGGATCAGGGGTTGGGAAGTCTGGGCCTCTCCAGTCCCTCAGCAATGGGGAAAGAGAGAGGGAAATTGGGATAAAAAGGGAGGGGAGTCCTCCAAAAATCTGAGAGCTCCCAGGGGAAAGCCCCACGGCCTCTCCTTTATTCAATAAAGTAAAAAACTCCTCTGCCTCCTTTTTGGACACGAACTTCTGGTGTTTGTGGGTTCATTTTCCCGACCCTCTGGATCCCAGCCCTGGAGGAAGGGGGGGAGCAGCTCCAGCTGTGCCCGGGGCTGTGCAGCTGTGGTGGCCCCAGAGGGGGTGACCTGTCCCTGCCAGCCCCGTCCTAAACTGAGAAATCCCGATTTCCACGGGAGCCACTTAAACACCTGAAATTGCCCTGCAGGAGATGAAACATTTGCTGTTCTTCCAAAGCTGATGGGAAAAGCTCCCCTTCCCTTCCAGGCTCCTTTTTGGGACTGTTCAATGTTAATTCCAACTTTTCAGCCTGCATTCTGTGGGGTAGTGACCCCTTTCAGCTTTGCTCCCTTTTTTCCACACCCCAAACCCCACACTCCTCAATTTCCATGCCACAGAGGATACAGCCATTTATTTATTGTTTAAAATGCTGTTTATTGTATCCAGAGGATTCAGTAATTCACAGGTCAGGGGTGACAAAAGCCAAGCCCACGGGTTTTTTAGCATCAGCTCTGGGTTCATCTCGAGCCACTCCAGTTCTGGTTACAATGCATTATAAACTTTTATTTTAATACATGACAACCAATCAATGCCTTTACTATTACCTGTAGCCTATCATAACCACTAACATTACATATTCCTGTTACTATTCTCCAATCACAAAAAGTTAATCTGTTACAGTTTAAGCTAAAAGTTGTTTTTCAGTTTTCTTGCAGTGAAAAATTCTGAGATTTTTTTCTTTGCTTGCAACATTGGCTTTTTTTCTTTGTCTGTGAAAATTTTTTTGCTTGGTAAAAACATCTTTTGTTGGAGGTGGGTTTATCCTTTGCTCTGAGTCATAAAAACCCTTTCTAGCCCACTTGCTCTTTGCTTTCTTAGTTATCCACTGAGACTGGCTCAGCAATTCTTGCTTCTATATCAAAACTTGCTCTCATTTCTATTCCTTCTTCAGATTCTACATTCTAAGATCTTTCTG